GAACTTCTATTCCGGTAAAGGTGGTCCTGTTTTATTTCACATTTATCATTTTGAGGCTTATCTTATGACTTTTCATATAACCTTTTTCATATGATTACTGAAGTATCGTGAAGAGCCAAATTTTGGAAGAAGTAATTCTACATCTGAAAATAAGAACAAAATCTTACATCGATGGAAAGTTTGATAAATTATGAATAAATTGTAGGGAGTGGGTGTTGAAGATGCAAAGGTTACAAAACAACTTATCTAAGATTTTATGTTGTTATAAAAGAGAAGAATTTATATTTTCAACACGTCCTCTCACGTAAATACCAAATTATTTTTTTTCATCAAAGAGCTAACATATACAATTTTCATAAGAAGGTAATGTGGAAACTTGAATCGACGACCCCTGTTGAATCACTTTATCCAGACACTTAGGGCCTGTTCTCTTTGTCATTTTCAGGCCATTTTCTGTTTTCGATTTTCCAAAATACTGAAAACGCGTTCTCTTTTCCATTTTCTAAAACCCGTTTTTGAAAACACAAAAAAATTTTGTTCTGAAACCACAAAACGTCATTTTTTGCCGTTTTGGGCGTTTTCAGTACAAAACACTAAATAATATGAAAACGCGGAAAACGCTCACCGAAAATAAAAAAAAAAAAGGGGTCTTTCATCTTCCCTCCCTCGCATAGCCTCCCGTGAAACTCTCGATTATGGCTACCTTCCGGCAACCATGGTCACCTGATTCCACCACCACTGAACACACCTCACTGCCATCTACAACATACACCCAGCTGTCGGCAGCAAACTCACCGGAATCAGCAGAAAAAATAGTTCAAAAACCAGAACTGTCGTACACTTCTACTGTCGGAAACTCTTGTTCTGGCGACACCCATGGTCGCGCACCATCGCCGATCAGTATCGCTCACCCAGACAATCATAACCATGGCCATACTTCAACCAATGGATCTCCCAATCGATCATAATCAAATTTTGCCAGTGGCGCAGCTTACGGGTTCGAATGTGCAAACTTCAATTCATCCTCACCACTACATTGAATCACCAAATTTGCCCCCAAACGAGCCTTCAGCAGCATTATACGACCATGAGTAGCATAACAATTGCACCAATTGATCCAAAAATAGCTCCAATTGGATGGGTTTTGTACTTCTAAACAAATGGTGGAAGCTTCTGATGATCATCAGGTCTGCAGCCAATGGTGAGATTCTTCTGTCTTTTTTTCTTTTTCCACTTTTTGTGTGTCAACCCATTGATCTCGATTGTGTTGATTGGAAATTGCAATGGTGACTGGTGGTGGGATGGTAGGCAGTGGCAGTGATGACTGGTTGATTGTAGTGGTTGTTTGTAGTGGTGATGATTGGTTGATTGCAATGGTTGTGTTGATTGCAACGATGTTGATTGCAATGGAGTGGAAATTGCAGCGGTGGTGAATAATGTTTCTGGTTGTGTTGATTGCAGTGGTTGGTCCAAATTTATGCTTGATTATCTCAGCTCCATTTGGTAACATATAATACAATAATTCAGGCATACTGTACGAGGGGAAATTTTGAAGGGGCTAATAAGGTATATGAGATGATGAAAGTGAAAGGAATTGTGCCGGACTTGTATACTTATGGTTCATTAATTAGCTGCATGTGTACGGAGGGGAACGTCGAGGAGGCATCTGCTCTTCTCAAAAGAATGGAGGAATCGGAATTGGTTCCAACAGCTGTGACGTATAACAGTTTGATTGATTGATATTGTAATAAAGGGGAATCGGAAAAGGCTTTTAGTTGCAGGATGAGATGGTAAGTAAGGGAATAAATCCAA